TTTGAAGCGACTAAGACTTAGGTAGGGAATTACCTCCATAGCAGCCAGAGGAAAACGACTGAACACTTCTTTCTGAGTAAGAGCTTTGGCAACCTCAACATTTGTGGGGACCACATGTTCTTGTAATAGGCCATGGCGGTTAGGCCATCTTCGAACATGGTGTCACTCGGTTTAATAACCGATCCATCCGTTCAGATGAATCGAGGAGTCTATAGAGCCTCTCCAGAGGCAGAAGCAGTCGTCGCGCCAGATCTAGAAGGAGCAACTGGTCTGATCTGGGGGGTTTAGGCACGTTCAGCCCAGAAATTCGAACCCTCCTCGTCAGAGGAATGTCATCAGGACTGCCCTCACTGTCAGGTTGGGGCCTTTTTCCTCGCTCCTTGTCTTGGATGGATGCAGCGGGGGCAGAGGGGCCCCGAATCTGAAGAGCGGTGCTCAGATTGACAGAAGAAACATTGACGATTGGGCTAGCATTCATTGTATTTGGAGTAGTGCTGGAGGTGGTAACAGAGGATGATGCTGAGGCTGGAAAAGAAGAAGCTGCAGGAGTTGTAACAGCCCTAGGAGGAGCCTTCTTCCTACTGAAAGAAGGGATCTGGAGTTGACTCATTGTGGTACCGAGGACTGAAATGTCACTAAGGTTTTCGGATGTGAGAAGCTTCAAACAAGAGGGGACGTTGCTCAGCACGTGTTCCTTCAGGTATGTGATCCTATCCCTGCAAATGCCATAACTGAGTTCATTATCCAAAGTGATACCCAGAGAATGGCAAAGAAAAGAACAAAAATGGGGAATGCAAATTTCACAAAGGCAGTCAGCCTTATGAGTTTTGAATTTCTTATAAGAAGAGACGGAGCATTCGCCAAAAGCATTCGGGATAGGATATTCATTGGCTGCTGGAGCAAACCAAGCTCTCCGAACCCTAACAATGCCTCTTTTCCACCATTTTTCAGATTTAAGTTTGTCCGTACAGATGGACATTTTCTTGAACGGATAGAAATGGTAGTAAGCCTCATCCAACCTGATCTTGCTAACTTTGTAACAAATGAGAAGATCAATTAAATCAAGATCCAAACCTCTGTCATGATTCAGAAGCAACAGAATGGATAAAACCCTAAAAAAGTTGGGGTTAACTTGAAGAGGAGAAATTTTCAACCTATTGAATACATAACAAAAGAAATGATGCAGAGGAAATCTAATAATGTTTAAATAATGGAGGCAAAACAAGGTTTCACCAGGAAGAAGGCCTTCACCAGTTTTGATATTTACATTTGTGGGGCACTCCCTAACATGAATATTATTAGGAAGATGGAGTTTTATGCGAAGAACATCTAGATCGATGGGCATGGTGAAAGCGATTATGAGCCTTGACAAAGAATGCAGAGATTTTAGGAAGAGAGGGGCAATAAGACTAACCTCAAAGGATGTTGCAAGGAAATTGAAGATGAAGAATCTTTCACAGGATTCTCCGGAGAAGATTTGGCTTGACCAAAAAAGATTCGAATTGCCTGCAGAAAATAGATTGTGAAGGGATTGCCAGTGAGATATGATAGGTACGACAAGGAAGACTGTAAGTGTGAAATAATGATATGTATAGAGAAAGTGGTCCCATCAATCGAGGCGTCAGTAAGTTAAAGAAATTTAAATTTCAAAGACTCTGATTCCGAGGCTGACCGTTCAATGCTCCATATGATTGCCTAGAGCCGTCGATTCATCATCAGCTGTCAAGTCATCATTAGCTCAGTGAATAATTGCACCCTAATTAATGAGGGAGCAATTATGGGGGCAGTTGAGGATACCAAAAGCGGCATGGGCCGGATCTGGCTCACATGATATAGAATGGGCTTGGTAATTGACCTAGACCCGGATCAAACTTCTATAGGGCAGGCCTAAAGCTAAAGAGTGAAGTGGAAAGCCCCTGAAGATGATCAGGCCCATGATTACGAAAGCCTCAAGGATGAGCCCAATGGAAGAAGTTAGTTAGGAATCCTCTAGGAAACTATAACTGGTCTATAAATAGAAGGGGAGAAGAGAAGAAAAAAGGGAGGATGATTGTTGAAGTGTAATGAAACTCTGTTGAAATGATAACAGAAATTTCTTACATCTTTGTTTACAAATGGATATTAATTCATTCCCCAGATTCTGATAAGCATTGTTAGAGCAACTTTAACGAGATGGAAGCTACGGAACCACATCAGGAGGTTTAAAAAGAAGATAAACGCGAGATGTAGAGATACCTACTAGTGCTATATATTCATAATTATTAAAATAAAACAAGTCTATAAACGACAAATTAATAAATAGTTATTATTTATGGGTATAAAAAATACAGTGTTTAGTAATTGATAGTAATTCATTCCCCAATTTTTGATGAGCATTGTTAGAGTAGCTTTAGTGAGATAGAAGCTAATGGAACCACATCAGGAGGTTTAGAAGGAGGACGAGCGCGAGATGGGGAGATGCTAATAGTGCCATTCATAATTATTAGAATAAGACAAGTCCATAAACGACAAATTAATAATTAGTCGTTATTAATGGATGTCGAGAATATAGTGTTTACTAATGGATATTAATTCACTCCCCAGTTTTCGATGAACATTGTCAGAGGAGCATCAACGAGATGGAAGCGAACAGAACCACATTAGGAGGTTTAGAATGAGGATGAATGTGATATGGGGAGATATCTACTAGTGTTATTCACAATTATTAGTATAAGATAAGTCCATCTGCGACAAATTAACAAACAATCGTTATTAATGGGTTTCAAGAATATAGTGTTTAGTAACAGAATTAATTCATTTCCTAGTTTCTGATGAGCATTGTCATAGCAGCTTTAATGAGGAAACATATCAAGAGGTTTAGAAGGAGGATGAACGTGAGACGGGGAGATACCTAGTAGTGTTATTCATAATTATTAAAATAAGACAAGTCCACAAGCGACAAATTAATAAACAACCGTTATTAATGGGTGTCAATAATATAGTGTTTAGTAATTAATATTAATTCATTCCCCAGTTTTCGATGAACATTGTCAGAGCAGCCTCGACCAGATGGAAGCTAATGAAACCCAATTAGGAAGTTTACGAGGAGGACAAATATGAGACAGGGAGATATTAAATAGTGTTATTTCATAATTATTAGGATAAGACAAGCTTATAGGCAGTACAAGACAGATGTAAAGGAGATAGTAATTAATAATGGATATTTATTTCTCAATTTTCGATGAGCATTGTTATAGTAGCTTCAACAAGAAGGAAGCTAACGGAGCCAAATAAGGAGGTCTACAAAGAGAAGAAGTGCGAAATATGGAGATATTTAGAAGTGCTATTTTATAATTATTACGATAAGACAAGCCTATAGGCGGAACTGAACAAATAAATAGTTATTAATGGGTGTGAATAATATAGTCGTTAATAATGGAAACTTGATTTTTGACGAGCATTGTCAAAGCAACGTTAACGAGATGAAGCTAAAAGAAGTGTGATAGAGGGAGATATTTTGAATGTCTCTTTTGGGGAACTGTGACTCAAAGTCACAGTTTCCCCGAAAGAAACATTTATTTTGGTACAGAGGAAGTAATTATTACGATAAGACGGGTCCATAGGTGGAATAGAATCAATAAATAGTTGTAATTAATAGGTGTGAAGAATATATATAGTCGTTAGTAGTGGATATTCAATCTTTGGTTATCGGTGAACATTGTCAAAACAACTTCAACGAGATATAAGCTCATGGAACCAAATCAAAAGGTCTAGGAAGAAGACGAGTGCAAGAATGAGAGAGATACCCATTAAAGAAACACTAGGTACATATGAACTAAACCAATTGACCTATCAAAGTTAGTATTCTATCAGTTTTAATGTCATTTTGTTGCTAAAAATTTTGTTGTACATCCGTAGTGAGAAGAATTATTAGATGGTCCTGAACCATTGACACTTAGTGAACCAGTTAAATATAAATTTTCAAATTGAGAAAATGACCTCACAAGAGTATATTAATATATTGCAAAGTGTCATAATCGGATGATTTTCATTAAATTAGTTCACCAAGTGTCAAATAAGTTAGAACCATCTAATAATTTCTCACGTACTAGACCTTATTGGAGACCTTATTGTAGTCATAGCCTATTCAATTTGGCGGTTGCCAACTTTTGTTATACGTACAATTTTTTATTTTTTTTAATTTGGAAATTAACTTTGGTTATACATTGATGAGATCTGAATGGAGTTTAAGGCTTTTTAACATGATTGATTTCTTTGGCTCGCAAAATATCAGTTGGTCATGGCATGGCTCAACCCTAGGGCGTCGCTAATCACACATCTAAAAACAAGCAAAGCCTCAAAAAGAAATTGAAAAGCTAGTTCTGCAAATGGTAATTAAGCATTTACTAGCCATCCAAACCTATTAAAAACCAGGGCTGAAAATTCTCCCCAATTCCCTCCCCCTTAATTAGTAGTATAATTAAGTCGCAAAAATGCATGACTTGGGCACCCCTCGTTGAGAATAAAATGGCATCTTACATCTTTAATCACCCACTTACTCACACTAAAACACACACTCGTCTGTTCGCAAATGGGTAAAATAGGAATTTCATTTTAAAGGATAAGCAACGGAAGTGAGTTGTCAGCGAAACAAACATTCCATGTATTCACAAATTATAGTAATTTCACTTAGCAAAATATGATGATTTTACTATACCTACTAATCTCTCCACTACTCTTACAATTTTGGTCTGAGAGAGGAAGCTGAGGGGTTGCCACACCTCTCATCTTCAGCCGTTGGATCAATTTTTAGATCAACGGCTGCAAGCAAATGTAGCTCATCACAAGCCTTACTATAAGCTCTATTTGTCCAACGTTTCCTATGGAGTTTAGTTACAGGTACTAATAGAAGAAAAGCCATAAAAAGGACATTCCCTCTATCAAAGCGAGTTTTGAAGCAAATTGTTTGCTTAAAAACAGTCCTCTCTCTTCTTGTTTTGCTCTCCTTCTAGTCCTCTTTCATGGAAGGTGGAGAAAGTGGTGGTTTAGGGTATGGGTATTTACAAAACACCCATCCTTCCTATAGACCAAGTCCTCCATTAAGGGCCATAGACAGGTTCTTGTGTTCTCAGAACCATTCCTCACATCAACCACCTCGGAATGATGTGAAGAATAAAGGGACACTTGTTCCTGAAAATGGGTTTTTTGATTTTTCTTCTTCTAGTGGTGCAATTGGCAGCTATGCAGGTGGAGTTTCGTGGCCATGTCTACCCAAGACGAGCTTCGTGGACGGGCTTTTACTTGATGGAGAAGCTCTCAATTGGAATCATGAGGGAAACCCTAAGGTGGGTTTGAAAGAAGAAGTGAATTTGGCCCAGAAAAAATCTGGAGACTTGGGGAAGAGAACCAACAAAGGTGGATATTCTACAGGTTTGATCATCAAAGGGCAATGGACAGAGGAAGAAGACAGGTGATATATATGTGTGTGTGATTTGTATGTGTGTGTGTGTGTGTGTGTGTGTGTTTGTGTGTATATAAAACGTATATATATATATGTATGTAAAACAATTTTCATTTTTTTGTTTCATCTTAATTACCAAAGAAAAAAAAAAAAAAAATTGGTTTCATTTCTCAGGATATATTTCTTATTTCGATTATTTCTCTTCTTCATTCTTGTTTTTGAGTAGTTTTAAATTAAAGGTGATACAAAAAAAATTGAATAATTTTTGTTGTTATGTATGAAGAGAATTGGTGAGATTAGTGAGGCAATACGGCATTAGGAAATGGGCTCAGATAGCTGAGAAGATGGTCGGTAGAGCCGGAAAACAGTGCCGTGAGAGATGGAATAATCACTTGCGCCCTGATATCAAGGTTTTTCTCTCCTCTTTATCATATGCTTTTCTTCTGGATTTCTGCAAAGCTAGCTAGCTGTTTTTTTTCTTTCTGTTGCCATTTCTTTTAACTTTACTATTTGCACAACTAATCATCAAGTAATCGAGTTTCTTTATGTCAGATATTGAGCCATTTCTAATATGTGATTGTTGGATTTCTAAAAGAGATTTGATTTTTGGATTTCTAAAAGCTATTTCTGTTTACTTTACCATTTTGCACAGCTAATCATCAAGTAATCAAGTTTCTTTATGTCAGATATTCAGCCATTTCTAATATGTGATTGTTGGATCTTTAAAAAAATATGTGATTTTTGGATTTCTAAAATATATTTCTGTTTACATTACTATTTGCACAACTAGTCATCAAGTAATCAAGTTTCTTTATGTCAGATATTCAGGCAAATATGATTGTTGGATATCTATAAAAATATGTGATTTTTGTATTTCTAAAAGATATCTATAATGGGTATCTAAGAACTTAGATTTAGTTTAGATTTGTGTAATTGTTATGTATTTTAGCAAGCTAGATAAAACCCTAGATTGCCTTAAATGGTTAATTTATCTTGCACTCACTTTTGATAAGTGTACTCCCCACTAGTTTATATGGTATATGATAAATTTTAAAGCTGTGGAGATTTAGATTGTCAAGGATTTATACATGAGAGATCTTTTTGTTCATCTCTAGGTTTTCTTTGGAAAATACTACTACTATTTTTGGTAATTACTTAAATCTTCACTCAGGAAACAGACTATGGCTTCTTTTTTTTATATAGATAGCACTTTTAACATGCAAATATTAAGGTTTGGTGGTTCACATCATATCTCACATTTCCACTTTCCATATATCAATGGAGATATATATATATATATATATATATATATATATATATATATATATATATATATTTTTTTTTTTTTTTTTTTTTCTTTTCATTTATACAAGGTTATTTTTTTTTTTAATTTTATTTTAGCAATAAACTTCCTTATGAAAAGTGTCTAGGGTTTATGTTCCATTTTAGTACACACATTTGACATGCAGACCTTGTTGTAAAAAATAACCTCGTTTCAGTTTCATTATATTTTAGAAACTTTTTCCCCGAATTTACCATTATTGTTATAAAGAGTTCCACCGTTATTACTTCCATGGAAAAGCTATTCTTGAGTATATTATATATTCATTCTTTTTATCATTTACTACATAAATGTATGGTTTACATGCAAATCTTGCGACACAATGTAATTACACTTGTTGTATGTGATATGTCAGAAAGATAATTGGAGTGAAGAAGAAGAGAGGTTATTGATTGAAGCTCATGAGCAGATTGGAAACAGATGGGCAGAAATAGCTAAATATATTCCGGGGAGGACTGAAAATTCGATCAAGAACCATTGGAATGCCACAAAAAGGAGGCAGAATTCGAGGAGGAGCAAAGGGCAAAATGCAAGGGGCACTCAAACATCCATATTGCAAAACTACATCAGAAGTAAGAGTCTTAATGGTGCCTCAACCATTAGAACCCCTAGCCAAAGCACCACCACCACACCGACTGACTCCACCGTGTCAGAAGATTTGTCAAGCCAGTTTGCTCTTTCACTAAGAGAACTATCTGAATCCATAATGCAGGATGACACTTCGCCGTTCATGACTCAAACATATGATGAGGAGTTGAGGTTCATGCAAAACTTCTTTGGCAACAACAACATTCCACCATCCAAAGTTCCCAATGTTGATCATGTTCAAATTTATTCGGCCGGCAATTCTATTGGATTCAATTACACCAATGGTACTGATCAAGTGCTGAATGAAATGGTTCAGTGTGGCTTCTCCTCTTCCAGTACTCCAAACCCTAACATGTACAGAAACACCCAAAATGATGAGACTCCAAAAACCCAATTGTATTCTGACCAGTACCTATCCTATTTGCTAGATGGAGTCACTCCTTCACCTTCCATGGAGTACTACAATGATCCCATGAAGATGAGCTTGCAGGCTACCACAGGTCATGCTTCTTCAAGTGGAAGCAGAGAGATGGATTTGATAGAGATGGTTTCATCTTCTCACTTCTCTCAAGGTAGTAGCTAACAGTAACTTGTGATATTAGTATGTATGGTCTCTGTCTCCCGCCTTTTTTTAGGTCATGGTGGTTAAATTTACAAGACTTGGCAAGTTATATGTAGTGTCCTTTATAAAGTTTCAATTATCAAAAAAAAAAAGTGTTATATATAGGGAGTATTGTGTAGAAAACTGGAATTGTGAAATGTTGAAGGAATGATCTGTTAAAAAATGACAGATTCACATAATCTGTTTAGGCGTTTATGTTGTTGACAATATACATGTTGTCTGAGGTGTGAACGATCCTTGTAATGTTCTAGAGTACTGCTGTAATGGTTAAATTTTCTCAACAAATGGTGTGTTAGTTTTCCGTTTTTTTTTTTTTTCAGTTGAATTGATTGTGAGCACTCTTTTTATTGGTATTTTCATTTCTTTTCCTTGTTTTTCTCTTGTTTTTTTCCTCCACTTTCTCAACCGCTTCTAGTTATTGTCAGATGGTGTTTGACTGAAGTCTTGGTTGTTTTGGTAGAAATAAAACTGAAGTTAAGCAAAGGAATAGCTTACCATTTGGCCACCACCCCATGATTTGTGCAACACAGGTGGCTGAAGAGCGATGAAGTTAATGCACTACCATAATATAATTCTATATTACTTTTACTTTTGACTACATGCGACTAGGATCACGTGAGAGGGGAAGTAAAGTGGGGTGCACCCTCCTCTCAAAGTCGAGACTTGCGTGTGCTCAATCAAAACCATTAATGATGGTTTGGGATTACTTACGGTTACATGTTGCACAAAAAAGCAAATTTTTCATTAAAAAATATATATATATTTTTAAAATTAAAGAAATATAGTTTAGTGATATCTCTTTTACTTTCTATAAAAAATAGTTAAGGTTTGAGTTAATATTTCCTCTACTTAGATAAGCTTTGCGTTCCCGTAGAGAATTGACAAATGACTGATACAAAAAGAAGTGCTCATAGTTTTTGAGCTACGATTTTCTCTAAAAGTTGAAAACACGGAATAGTGTTGTGTGGCCAAAATAAAAGGTGGAGCCAACTTTCTTTATACATATGTTGCTTGTGTAAAACCCTAAATTAGTCTTCATGCTTATATACCGAAGAGATCCATCACCACTTCTTGCCACCATCGGCGGATTGCACACATCTCAACGCCATTCATCTATTTGTGTTTTTCATCGTAAAACCTCATTATCTTCTTCGCTAAACACCACGTCACAATCAATCAACTCACTATGCTCCTTTCCGTTAGCCCAACAATTGTCATTTTTGTTTTCGAATGGACCAGCTAATTTCATCGAAATCTTATTGTCGTCGTGTTTTTATTGATTGTTGTTTCGTCACAAATGGATTTTATTCCCCTTTTACCTATATTGATCCGTCAAGTATTCGATGAATTATTGACAGCATCAGTTGATTTTTTTTTTCAAACGATGATGATGTCAGGCCTCTTATAGCATCCCATAATCAACCACATGGCACATACAATTCCCTCTCTCACATACACCATTCAATTACAAGAAACATTCTTCATTGATGGCCATAAGGTATTTACAATCCTAACCTCTAGGATTTGAGGTGAGAGTCTTAGTATTAGGTTATCCCTTGGGATTAACATAATATAAATTCAACTCTAACCATTAAGTTACACAATTCTTCTCAACGGTTAACGTTCTCGTGATTTCGCTCTCAATAACACTTTGTGTGACTTAAATCTTACTGCTTTCGGGCTCTCGCTCTCGCACTCTTTCTCGCTCCAATTCCTGTTCTGTTTTACTTAGCCTAGCCAGGCAATTAAAGATGATCTAAATTTTTATTTCATCCTACTTTGCTAAAAAGAGCCTTCGCGGCTTCTTGCCACCATCATTGAAGCACGCACATCTTTGTTTTCAAACGGACCAACCAATTTGGTCAAAATCTCTTCTCATCGTTGTCGTGTATTAATTGATTATAATACATCACAAAGGGCTTTTATTTCTCTTTTGCCCATATTTATCCGTCAGGTTTTCAATGAATTATTGACATCATCATTTGATTTTCTTTTTACTAACAATGATAGTGTTGGGCCTTTTAGAAAATCTCATGATCCAGCACTGTGGACAAAAGCAGGATTCCTATGCCACATGCACCGGGCAATCATTGAAAATACATTCTAGGGTTGGATCCAAGGGGATTCAGATTACCAATTTCTAGAATTTGAGGTGAGAGTCTTATCATTAGGTTATTCCTTTTGAATTCACATAATTGATAAATTGTGAGCCATACAAACTTGCATACACATTTACTTGTTTAAATGAGATAAATATGAAAAAAGCATAACTTTAATTCAATTTGAAAATGCTAGATTCAGTTTGGTTCCAAATTAGGTACTTTTAACTTCAATTTGGAAAATTTCCATCTCCCATTTCATTTTCTTTATCAGTAGAACTTTTTCTTTCTAAGCTTCAATTGGATTTGATATTTTTCGCTTGAATAGACCATTTCATAATTTTTGCAATCCAATTTGAATATTTAAAGTTGAATCATGCATGTCGAGCTAAAGATTTATGTGAATAATTTTCTCATACCTAATAACATTGATTGATGAGGGAACCTTGGAGGTACCCCAAAGATCTTTGTTTCGTTTGTTACCATTATTGTCTCATACATGTCAATTACAGCTAAGATGTTATTATTGTTTGTTGAATTCAGTTAATAACCCACTTTGCATTTTGTCTTTGGTAGAGATAGCTTAGGAAGTTGTGAAAACAATTTGGGAGCTCCATCAGTAAGGTCAAGTTTGATGATCATGGAAGTTTTTGTTGATTGAATCATGCACTAAAGACCATTGTAGTCTGATTTCCTTCTAAGCGATGCTTAAAAGCTTTGAGGCTTGAGGACAGATGCACCTTTTCTTTTCTGTTATTAAAATCTTATAAACAATAGAACAAGGATTGGCAAGCTCGGGACCAAATACAAGACCATAAATATAGGGAGTGTTTGGTGTTGACCTTACATGTACATTCAAAGAATATAGTACGACCACCCTAAATGGAATTTAGGGATTTCAAAAAATAATGGAGAGCAAATTCAAATCAGCAATAGTCCAACACACTCTTTATGCAATTCTTGAATAGCATGCATGGATAGTCGGCCTCTCACCGTATTAAAAACATAATCAAATGCCATTGAAGGGGGAGTAACTATTTCTACAGATTATGTTGTTGCACGCCAACCAAATGAGATACACTGAAATAACCAACAGGCCAATGGCCTAGTGGTATCAGTCTCCTACTTCTCAAAGGAATGTCAGGAATTCGAGCCATAATTGAGGCGTGTGTGTGAGTACCAGCTAAGGAAAAAAAAAAGAAAAAAAAGATACACTGAAATAATGAGGCAGAGCTTATTGATCATAAATGATTGATAATCCAGCTTAGCATGGTGCAATTAATGGGAAATGTCCATTCTTTTGGGGTGATGAGGAATCGAAAAAAGGATTGGATTCTAAACCAAATGCTAGGAGAGTAACTGCACTATACGTTCTCAGGGTAGAGTTGCAAAAAACGTAAACATTGAGAGAGATGGTGACATAAAAATGAGGATGTTCCCATGTGGGAAGTCTATTTAGGATTGCCAGACATAGTATGAAACTATGCCTAGAGATGCATTCGAGGAAACCACTTTGGAACAAATTTATCTGTCAGGAAAAAAAATTCATCCCGATGGAATATGGTGCCACAAAACAATGGCTGAAGGGTTAGTGACCTTGATTATGTGGGACATGAAAAATGAACTTGATGGGAAAGGGGACCATATTAATATTACTGTGCCAGGGTCTGAGGTTAGAATGTTACCGAATGGGAAAAAGGCAAAATAGAGGTCACGTATGGTAGAAAGCTCCACTTACCATTAATAAAGAAAAATGAACTAACCCTGGCATATTTGGAATCAATTGAGGATTAACAAGATTTGGATAGGGGGGCCATAATTTGCCTAGTTATGAAATAAAAAATGGGTATATTTATCATTTCCTATGTGGGCTTTGATGAAATTAGAAGCTATACGTCAAACGGAGAATTTTTCTCCAAGACCGAGAGCAATCTTGAGGTGCTAAAAACTGGAAATATAAGGATACGATGATATGTGCGTTTGACACAATCAAATGAATTTTATTAGGTTTTGCTCTATAACAACTGCTTTTTAATTTTTTTTTACTAAACAAACTTTCATACTCTAAAAATTTGAAAACTATTCTTTGAATTTTTTTTTTTTTTTTGTCAAAATTAAAAATAAAGAATGATTCCAAATAGACCATTGGTTTCCATCATTATCCATGCACCGCAATAGAAGGAATGATGTTATTCAGGCCAACTCAGCTTGGTCGACCCACTCACAGAACAACATGTGCGACTTATTAAGATTATTTTCCCTTCAAGACAATAGATGAGATATAATTGGAATTTATTGTTAATGGAATTTAGGTATTAATTAAATGCTCTATATATATGATAGGTAGGTAGATGTGTATTTTTTAGAAGTTAAAAGAGTCTACACATATTTCTTCCTCTAAGTTTCTCTTACTCTCTCACGTACCAACTATAGCTTATGTAGTTTGAGAAATTAAAAGGTCATAGAGGTGATTATAGAGGGCAAGGAACCAAGGAGGAAGAATGAGAGGCTTAGAGAAGATAGAATAAGGTTCTATCATTTCCAAGTGGGTCTTCAATGGAAGTAGGGATCCTACTACATCATTTGAGGTATAGGACTCTATATCTTGTTTGTATGTCCCTCACATTCATATTAGTTTTTGAAAAGGCCATTGGTTTTAAATAGCTCAATGTTTCCCTGCTTCCTGTTTTAATCCCATTTTTCATTGGGACTCACCACTATGAGTGGGGCCACGTATTTGTGAGTGGTCTGCCTTGGCTAGCGCAACTAGATTTACTCCAATGAAAAATGATATATGTTTTAACTAAAAGAACTAAAAGAAGCGTCGACGCACATGAAAACATAATATCATAAACTTGGATGGACATGAAAGGATCCAGAAACTCAAGCGAGTGGGGGACAATATTGAATTTTTAAAATAATTTTAGAGGGGACAAAGGTAATATTTTGTAAATATATATATCAGAATGACAAAATAATAAGATAAAATAGTAAAAAAAATATAATTCAAAGGAGGAAATTGTCCCACTGAAGTGTACATAGCTCCGTCCCTGTGGATGGATGTTGCTTTTGAATATGATATCATGAATAAATTTTCAAAGGTTAGGCAATTACATATATATAGATATGTGTGTAAATTTACAAACCCCGGCCATGAAGTGCATGTTGAAATATTCGAAAAAAAAGTTCAGTTCTAGTTTAGTTGGCAAAAAAAAAAAAATTTCCCGCATATGTAGCTCGGTCTGCTATATGAAACAATTGTTGAAATTTTACTATCGTACAATATAATTAATTACCCTTAATTATTTTTAAAAAAAATTACACTGCACTCAACCTGAGATTTAGACAAATTATTCTTTAATAGACTGTTCAACATTTATTACTTTGACCTCTCTAGAGACCTGGCGCATTTGTTCAGCGACACTCCTAGTGTTTTTTTTTTTTC